TACATCACAAAACTTTTTCATCTATTCTATTTAACTTGATGCTAAATCGCTGCAGTACGCGCTGCGACTCGTCCGCTGACCCGTCTGCGTCTCTGCCTTTACGCGCGCAACGGGCCTCCTGTCGGCTATCCCAATGTACTTCTAGGGTTCTAATTGCCGACAGCTTCGTTTGTTCTCTTCATTACTGGTCGATCAATTACCACACCTATTTTCATTTTCGGCGCAATAACCCAACCTTTACGATCGCGGATGGTACCTTTAGGCTCAGGTCCATTTCAGTCCAAATGTGAACCCCGCCTGACTTACGTTTATGTGTTTAGCTGGAGTCTCTGTAATGACAAATAAACTGGATGTGGTAAATATTCGCAGTGAAATAGTCTAAAAAAACAGAGAAAAGTTTGTTTACACATAACATGGCGACACATAATATATGTTTACCGGGAATTCAGTCTGATGGAAGTATTGTTGCCTCGCAACAGCCTGCTTCCTCCTTGGTCTATTAGAATATGCGGTTAATTCGATCCACGTCTCTTCCTTCGCATTCCTAATATTTCCTTGTTTTCCTGGTTTCCATTCTAGACGAGGAAATTCAGCGCGGCATGCGGCTGCGGGTAGGGGCAACCCGTAACAGTGCGTCAAATTCACGGAAATACTCAGTTTTAGGACTAACCGCAAAGGAGAAGAGGGATCGAGGTGCGTAAGCAATTTTCATTCCCTCTGGAATTCCTCCCTTTCCGTTAGGTTTAGTCCTAGTGGCCTCCCTACAGACCGCCTTCCCCCCCCCCAACGCAGCGTCAGTAGAATCTGTCACTTGAGGAAGGTATTGTACCATTATGCACGACTGAAAGTCATGAAAAGTTGCTTGCATAAGGCTAGCAAGCGCCCAAAATGGAAATCCAGCCGTTGGTTTCACTGGTTGGCATTCGTCGACCATCAATCATGCTCCAGTGACACTCTTTGCGCCAGTGCGATTACATCACAAAACTTTTTCATCGAACCAAGCTTCTTGTTTTTTTTTCGCGGTTTTTGTCCATTTTTCCTAGTGCTTCCGGCTAACTCCTCGAGCATTCTGTCTTTATACATGGATCGGGCCCCATTTCAAATAAATCGGTGTTTTGTGAGAACTCCTTGACCTTCTCCTTTTGGCTATCTTTTGGCCTCAGTTACGAAATCATTACAAATATACATTCAAGGTGAAATGAGGCTCTTACAACTGTCCATATTTGGCTTATCAGTATTTCACTTTACTTTTTGGATTTACTTGTAGTGGGTGTTGTGGAGCTTAGGGTTAGGGTCATACTTATTTAACCCCTTTTCATCGCACCATGAGGTGATTCCTTGGCATTTTAACAGTGATGGTGAGGTCGGGATTGAGCATAGAGGGACAGATGCGAAGCCTTTATCGGACAGCTCTGAAATCAAGAAAGAAAGTTGTCCTGTATTTGTCCCTACAGCACAGATCCTTCTTTTGACGTGAAACCCGCGGGAATTATCGAATATCTTGTTATGATGAATTCTGCTTCTTTTCCAATGTTATTTTTCAGTATTTAATTAGATGTTTTTGTCTAAATAGGATTTTGATTTGGTTTTTCTCTGAAATGAAAATTAGCACAGCAGAGGAATGGTGGGGAGGGGGTGGGGGATAGAGGCATCGCGACGCACTCGATCGTCCTGGCGAAAAGTAATCCATTTTTTCGCAGAAAGGAGGCTTTTGGGCGTATGCAACATTTTGTCTGTTCAAGAAGAGTTTGTTGAGTAGGAAAATAAAAAGTCTTTCTCGGTTTTGAATGCTTTCGGTGCTCTTCCCCACGGTACCCCTCCCTCTCCCAACGAATCTGAAAACGTGCCAAAGTGCCGAGAATTTGAATGATAGCTCTTCTTCCGTGTAATTCCAGAGGTGCATTCTAGAAAACTCCATGATAGCTTCATTCATCTTCTTGTTCTCATTTTTGTACACAGAGCAAGGAATTCGATATGCTTTTTTCACCACATCTTCATGCAGCAGCTGGCTGTTACTTCGGCATGCGATAGTTGCCATAGTTTCAGGGCGTGTCGTTTGTTGCTCACTTCTCACCTGCGTCTTGTGAGCGCATACACATTTCTTAGGCTAAGTCCGCGATCCGTCGCAGGTTTCGCTGATTTTCGCGATTTGCGCGATTCACGCGATTCACGCGACGGGTCACGGAAATCACAAGTGCCCGATCAATACTGCAAGGTGTTCCGCCACTTCTGCTTGATAGTGATGGCTGAATGACGACTGCTCATGATTCCACTTGTTTCATATTCAGTGTTTCAAATGTTCAAATGGGGCACTTGCAATTGCGATCCATCGCAGGTTTCGCGAAAATCAGCGAAATCTGCGACGGATCGCGGACTCTGACACCAGCCTTACGGTGCATGCATAGTCGGTTGCCCGATCGTAACGATCGCACAGCATTAGATACGTATCGATCGTCTGACGTGATCGTTACGATCGGACGGACGCCATAAATGCGCCCTTGAAACGGCCTAGACATTTAAATACGAGCTCGTGGCACAATCACGCTACTTGGTACCGCTTTAGTGTCTTTGCCAACAATCTCTGACTAACCCTGCCCTGGTCTTTTTATACTTTTCAGTTTTCATTTCTTTTCGAGTTTTTTTTTCATTATTTTTTGTCAAGCAAATAGCTTCAGAAATGTTTATATGCATTTTCTCAGTAAAAAAAACTGCACAGTTTGGAATTTTTCTAAAAGTCGCTCAACCTTGCTTATAAACTTGAAGACGTTTGCAGCCTAAGGATAATATTCATACATGTTCAAAGTCAGTCATTAAGTTCATTTATTGTGTTAGTCATGAAATTGTATTCAGTTATGATTGAAGTGCACCAATGAAACTTATGCATTGCTCGGCCTTTTTATGGTATGCTTATAAAAATTCTGTATCTTTTTTTTGAAGCCTCCGCTCAGTGGTTTCGACATAGAAACCATTAATCAAGTGAACAGTATATGTTATTTATGGATAGTTTTTGTTTTCGAATCCTTCTGAAGTTGGCTAGTCCCCCACTTTCCACTTTCGCATTCGGAAAGGTATAGGGTAAGATTTGAATTTTCATGGGAGCCGAAAACGGAATTTGCATTCCACATTATACGACTTTGCGACGATTATTTGCGTTCTCGGTCAAAAGTCGAGTTTTGTTCGAGTGGGAAATTTACACTCATTTCGAATATTAATTCTTTCTTTTACTCAACGCCAGACCACACCTCAAGTCTCGTGCTCGATTTGTATAGTAGATAATAGAGTATTAATCAAAGAGGACTTGTAATCTGTCGATTGCATGAAGAGCTGGGAATTCCGGGAATGTCCTTCACTTTGATAAGGCAAACGGATGCAAAACCTAGAAGTCACGTGTTGATGAAGCCGAACGAATTGTCATGTGATCGTTCCCTGCGTAGAGGCGTTATTCATTTCCTACGGGGGGCCGTATGTGGGTGTTTTCGAAAACCGAGTTGGTGAATGATAGCGCTGGTTAGTCTGCGAGACACGAAACTAATGGAAATGAGTGCTTTTTTGGCGAACAGTGAGTTTTTTTCTATATCTAGCAGTCATTTTTTCATTGCGCTTTTGAATTCCAGGAACGTGTAGTGTGTTGAGTACGAATTGAGAAATACTTTAATAATCTATTTGTAAGAGGATGATCCCCCAGTTTTCACTTGGACTCCTTTTCGGGCTCATTGGAAGTGCACTTCTCAGGGATAAGGCACACTACATATGATTGCTATCGTTCAAAGTGTCATACTAGATTTATACTAGATTAAAGGCTATATTTTTAAGGCCTTCTCAATCTTATGAATAACCAGACAGCTAGCTAGAGAGTGGAGAGAAGGGAGAATATTGCCTCTCAGGGTCAGGAAAGCAGTGAAAAAAGCAAAGAAATGGGGATGGCTTTTGTCTAGCGGTTTCAGGAAAGGTCTAGGTTCCCATCGCTTATCCATACCGCGATCCCTCGTGTTGTTTCTTCAGTGGCTTCAATCTTTAGCGATGCAGGCGCTTTTCGAAGGGATGAAAAAAATTTTTTTTTGTTTTCGCTAGTGTTCAATATTTTGTGGTATACATCGGTCTTCTTCGGCATTGTACAAGTCAGTCTCAGGATCTTGATGAGTCAGTCGACCCAGGATGGACCCCTCCTTTGAAGCGGTTTTTGTTCCGTTTGGTATCGAATAAGAGGGAAACTTAATGATGTTACTTATCCTCTGCCTTGCGTTCACACATGAGTTACGAGTTCTGAGTGCTCGCTTCAACCCATCGTTTTTTGGTCCACTTCACCCCGTGCCTCGTTTCCGCATGATTTGTGGTCACAAATGGATGAATGCAAATGACATCTGCATGGAGAAAGGGGGCGATGTCGCTGAAATTTTCATGGAGTCGATGTCGACCCACAGACCACCCAGGCGATAAGGAAGGTTGCAGGCTACCCTTGACCAACTGCATTTATACGCGCTGTATGGCGCTTGGTTCTTTTCATAGCGATCTTACTCATGCTATGTTATCTTTAGTTTTAATATTTTCCAACCCACATTCTTTGTAGATTTGATGCAGTGAGCTTTTCAGTAACCTCTTTGAATTTTTGTTCCACTCATCTTGTCACCAAAGTTATTTGAAAATTCAGCGGAATTCATCTTGTTGGCATCCTGACAAAAAACCTTCTCAACTTCTGATTTTTGGTTAGCTCTCTAGCATCATAAGCAAGGCAGTTATTTCCTTCAGTAATGGTCAATCTCTGTTGTTCTATTAGAACCAAGTGGGCTGTGGCTGGTTGTTTGACTAACATTACGTTATGTAATGCAAACATTCTTATCGTTGGCCTGTGTGTGGGCGTTTGTAGGCACCTCAAACGTTATGTTGCCATTTTTCGATCACTATGAAGTTGGCCTGATCTTGGGTGATAGTTCGCCTTCTAAAATGTGATTTTAGGGTTCTCAGCGGCTTCTGGCTGTGGCTGCTTGGCGTACGGTAATTCTATGGAGGATGGCGACTCGTCAACGAATACTCTACTCGTATCGTTGCGAGAACGCGAACGCGTCTTCTATGCCGTCGGCCGACTGCCTGCCAGATTGCCTCAGGTTGGTTCTGTTTATTTGTCTTTGATGCATTTTTCTGGATATTCACAGATGTCCAGTGAGACCCGCAGTCGCTTGATTTTGGCATTTCCTCAATTATACAATTTTACAGGGTGATGGTGTGATCAGTTGGGCATGCCGCGACCGCGAAGCGGCCTGGATCTGCTCAGCAGCGCGACGACTAGGCCTCGATGTCGACTCGTTTACACTTGCAGTCGCACTTCTTGACCGGGTCATCTGCGGCACAAGAGTTCCAACGAAGTAAGTGACAAAATCACTGATACGATGATTCGAAGTACTTATGAGCGAGCGGTTTAAACTTTTGAATTATTTTCAAGCATCTTTTTATAAACTTCGACTGCTTTTAAACGCCAACTTGGAATCCCTCCCCCGCCAGGGTTTCGTCCTTGAGCTCCAATCTTCCTCCTTGGGATTTGGAGCCGAACCGGATTCTAAAAGAAAGTTCAACTAACCCGCAAACCATTGCCCTGCGGCGAGAAGGTGCGGAAGGAACCATATGGCTTTTTTTCTAGTATCACCTCGCTTCAATCCTTCCCTCCCTCCGAAGACTCTTGAGACGTAAGGTGGCTTTTCCATTTCATTGTTTAGTAGGGCTCGTTCTGGAATACCGTGGCTTATCGAAGGGTCACTTGAAACTTATAAAATAAAGCAGGTAGTGAATTAACACTGTGTAATATCTCCTTGTAGCGAAAACTGAGTTATGATTATTAATAATCCCAAATGAAATCTAAGAAAATAACCAAAAATGTTCGATTGGAAGCTATCATGGAGGAAAGTTCTCGCGATGGTAGTAGAAAAGAAATTGTCGTTTCAAATGCAATACGTATTGCGACTCGATAATGTTATCAAAGTATCTGCGAATCTGAATTGAATAGAAGTCACTTGCTATGACTTGGCAGAGGAGCGTAATTTCTAGGAAGCTGTTTAGGACGTGCCACCGTTTTCGATTAAAAGTTTTGAGCGCAGCTGGGGTAGTGGAAGTATGGTTTATGCGCGCACGAATTTTGCAATTTGTCGTTAAGGGGCATCTTTTATGTACATTTGTGTTCGGGCATGGTAAGTTCCTGCAGGAGTTAATGGGTAATGTTATATCTATGTAATTGTGCTAATGCTTCAAAATCAAGTCCGAATGTAATCAGTTACAGCAGGAGGCAAGGTGGTATGTTAGTGGCATTCACCATGTCCTCGTACGAAGGTTGAAATTCCAATCCAACCCCCTTAGGTCAACCAGGTCTTCAATAATGCCAGGATCTGTTAAAGTGTTGTTACCAAACAGATTTAGGGTGGATAAAGCACTGGGTATATCGTCCTTCAAATCTTTAGGATGCTTTTTTATGTAGGCATCGCAGAAATTAGGTCCTCTGCCCGTTGATTCTCGAGCTTTCGTGAGCAATGTGTTGGAATCAGTTATACGGCTTTTCAGTTTGTAGTGAAATGAACGTTCGCAAGAACTTCCTTCTTCCCTTGTTCGCCGAACTTCTGACGTTTAGATATGTACAATTTCAGATATGTGAACTGTGTGGCAGCTGCATGTTTATCGCTAGCGAAGAAGTTGTGCGAAGATCATGAAGAAGATGCATCTCTGTATCTACAGAGGCTTCGTTTATCGTATAGCGCTAGAGAACTGAAGCGTATGGAGTTGCGCATACTAGGTAAGGTTGAAGTTCTTTGTGGTGCTTATATGGATAATTTTATACATCCGACGATTTCGGTATTCTGCAGATCTCCTCGGTTGGGATGCACATCTTCCGTCATTCGATCGGTTTTTGGTGGCGCTGTTGAAGTCTATGGGTGGCGAGTGGTTGGTGTCACCGTTGAGGTCTGTCGAACTTTAGCACTTCTTCAACATTTTGGTCTTATTCTTTCAGTTTTCTTTTGTGCTGGTATACTTACTTGCCATTTGACTTCAGAGCTCATGTTGAAGCGATTGTATGCGACTCATCTGTGATGTCACATTTCGCTCCATCTACACTTGCTTTAGCCGTAGTGAGTCTTCTAGTAGAGGCGACAAGTAAGCAGTGGATGCCAGCGATTCAGACCCAGATCAAGTTGTGCAAGGTATGTGGAAATCTATTCACATATCTATCGTTTTACGTTTTTGACTTTGTCACATCTGAAGCGAGCTATTGCCACATTGCTTCAGACCGACCCGTGCGAACTTCTTCGATGCCGTGAACGTCTATCTAGTATCTGGTCACGCACGTTGGTACCATCACTGTCCCCTTTTGAATTGTTGTCACCGCCACTTGAACCGCCGACGACTGTAGCGACGACTTCGTGCCGTGGACCGTCGTTGGTTGTAACCGCGAGTCCAGGCGGTAATACCACCACCACCAGTTCTGCAACTGAGGTGATCACCTCACCCTGTGCACCGCAACCCACACCGTGTTGAAAGGTAGGTCTTTGTTTTTTTTTCGCATCTATTTCTTATTTTCCATACTCGTTTGTTTCTTTCTTCGAAATTTGTTTTGTTTATATCGATTTTTTTTTGCCGTCTTCTTCTGATGGCCGCTAAATCCCCTTACCGCACTTGCAACAGGTTTTCTAGGGTTGCTACCCCACACGTGGGCGGTTATTATGCGAACGGTACGTCAGCTTGTCCGTCCGCAGGGTGAGCCATCGGTGTGATAGGTTTTGATAAGAATGTGATAGGAAATGGGGCGTTAGTCACCGAACTCGTGGCGGGCTGTTTCTAGTGGGTTCCTCATACCAGGGATGAAGCATTCAATAGTTTTTGTTGGATTGTTTTCCCTTTGTTTTTTACTCAAACGCAAGACATTCTCAGATACGATCCTGCTATCTACTGAACGGCACATATTTACGCATATTTAGAATTAGTTCATCGTTTTGGTATTTAGCCTTTCACCCGGTTTGTTTTCTACTTAAGTTCTCTTTGTAGTGCCACTCGATTACACAGATTTTAGTGTCAACAATATGTATATCTAGCTGGCCTTGGGGATCTTATTATATAATGAGTTTGAAATGTTTTACCTTTATCTTAGCTCAAATTCCCATTTCAGGTTACATTCATCTGCTCGTTTTCAATGGTGTGCGTAGATTGCTTGCTGTTATGCCGTCCGTAAGATGCCATGAAAATGCGATCTTTGCCAGATGTGCTTAGTGGTACTCAAAAACTAACCACCTCCCCCATTATTTTCTAGTCCGTTGAGGACTCTGTGAATAGTCAACGGCAGGTCCGTGTATGTAGTGGAAATCAGCTGAAGATCGCCTGCTTGTATGGCTTTCTACAACTTTTTCTGAAGAGCTGTTTATAATTATCATTGCTTTCCTTTTCCGTATTTTTCGTGTGCAGCTACCGTACGCCTGTGGAAGTGTAACTTTATTATTTTCCACCTGAAGCATGATAGAAGATGATGTCGTGATGGTTTCTTATTTATTTTTTTTCATGTTACAAACATGGCCGACATCATTGCTGTGTACATAGAAGGTATTTGTGTGGAGTTCACGAACTTTAAGGCGTTTACGGTACGCATAGCATAAACTAACCCGTATTGATATTACTCATATGATCTTGTTTCTGTAAATTACCCAGTTGATCTTGTAGAATTTTTTTTAGGAATTTCGATCTGTTCAATTTACCTGTATGTGTTATGTTTCTATGTAAATGGCTGATATCGTATAGTTACTAGTGAAGTTTTGAGAGTTATCGTATCTCTATAACTCTATCCCTTCCCTTTCCCACCCTGACCCTGATGCACTCTGGCAATGTTTCCTGGAACGGACGAGTTCTTTGTGAATAAATTGTTGATCTGTTCATAGTGTGCGGTTGTTATAGATACAGGGTCGTCTTCATTCGATTTACAAGCAGAAATAATCACTTTGTGAATCTGACCGGATATTTTCAACCTCAAACTCATAGACATTTCGCAATTGGATATAGTTCCCTTCCCCGACCTTGGTGTTCGAGAGTAAAGGAAAGCTGACATTGAAGTACCCACTACTTTGGCAAACGGGTTACAAGGCTTCTGTCAACCAAAGGGTGAGAGCGTAGCTGGAAAAGCACACACTTTGTGTCTTATTGGGACTAAGCCTTTTGAAGAAGATAAAGAAAGAGGAGATGCTGTGATAGTGTGCACTTGTGAGAGCTCCCAGACACTACAAAACGCTGAACCGCCAAGCTCACGGTTGACAGATGTCCTGAGACCGGAAAACGAGAAGAGTGTCGAGTGCAGACCACACACCACAAGTGACGACGGCCAAGAAAAAGCAGCTTTTTCTTTACTTTTTTCTTGGGTGTGGTCTGCACTCGGCGCTCTTATCGTTTTCCGGAATAGAGGGTACATTCCACGACGACGGGCAGTGGGATTCAAATAGGATACAGTAGGCGTATAATGTGACAAGTGAAAAAAATGCCAAACCCTGGAAAACCTCAACAAAGCTGGATTTTTCATCGTTATGGTTGGACGACCCTGTTGTCAAAGTGTTATTTTGCGCTATTTTGCGGCTTTATTTTGCGCTATTATTACCACCATCTCGCTTAGAGGGTGCAGACAGGCTGTGTGCCGCGTCACCGACCGATCCCTTCTCCTAACGCCCAATGTGACTCTTGTTTCGCTGCCTTCAGTGATGAGCTCCAAAAAACGCATCTTGTGGAGAGTGAAAGGCTTGCGTGTCTTAGAAATCATGCTCGCTAAGCTGCTCATGGCGAAAAAAGCTAAAAGCGCACTGTCTTCAATGTGTCAACAGTTGTATAGGTGAGCACGGCAGAGTTCTTGCATGGACGAGATACTCTGTCGATCAGAACGACGAAAGAATATTGGGACGAGAGAGACGCAGACAAAGGCATAGGTGCCAAAGAAGGCGGAGTTATTGGCGTTCGGGACTTAGGACCTTTATGACGCTTTCACATATTTTCGCGAGTTTACCCAAAAATTTGACTCGGAACCTTTTGCCGATTCGAAGGTTTGGTACCGTTCTTTCATAAATAATCACTGGTTATTCTGGAATGATCCGAGAGCATTTAGTATTTACCGTTGTAATCACGTCAACGGGTCACATCTTACTTGTTTAGTTCAAAAATCACAATCGCAGCTCCAAGCAAAACCTATACCGGGTCCTATTCACTTTACAACACACGTTGTGGGAGACATGAGTATTAACTTGAAAATTGAAGATTGGCTGACATCACAAACTTTGGATGGGTTCAAATGCACGGTTATACACTTCCTCGATTCTGAACCAAATTAAAGTGCACGGCTTATCTCAGAGAGCCGATCAATATCGACCAT